TTGAAATTCTTTCAGCTAGAAGCATCTGCCGAAAAAACCGATGCCGGTAGCGACAAAAACCTGCGGAGAACTCTGCAAAAAACGCATCTTCGCACGGGCAGCCCGTGCGTTGGCCATTTATTTCTTTCTATCTCTCCGTCTCCCCTTTCGCCCCTCCCCTCTTCCCCCTCCAAAAAAAAAACTTTCTGTTATAAAGCGGTGATTATTTTAAAATATAAAAAAATAAATCTAGCAAAATACAATGAACGTGCATAGACTAAATTAGTTAATTTAGAAACACTGCACCTACTCTTAAACGTATTTCTGTATTTCTTTCTTTACGAATATTTTTGAAGGATTATGTCAATATCCTCTTGCAATCCACTTCACTTGTTAAAAATAAGTACGAATACACTAAATTACGACGAAAGAATAAATTTTAAAAACTAAACCAACTTACATAATCCCCGACACGTTTCATGTAGAAAGGCTTGCATTTGTGTGGATAACGGAGAATGAAAAACGGCCCGGAACAGTGCTCTACCAAGCACAGCTCGTTCTCTTTGCTCAGTCGTCCGCTGGATATTATTTCGCCTTTGCGTTGTAGAATTGATAATGCCTCCTCGAAATGCATACGTGGGAATGGCTTGATCGGATTGTCCATGCATAAAAGTGGTTGCACTTTCGGATTCTAAAAGAAGAAAAAAGAAATTCTGCTGCAGTGGTTAACGCATTAGTAAAGACTTGCGTCAGATATCCTTCTTACTACGAGCAAAATACAGGTTACTTTCGAATACCTCCGTTCCTCACCGATAATGCAACTCAACAATGATAAATAAACTAAAAAAATGCTTTGAAGTTTTTTTAATGAGTTTTGAAATCACTGGAAAAATCCTTTGTGAAAAAGCTGGATTCTTTGTAGTGAGCGAGAAAAAGATCTGAAAAGAACAAAGGCAAGAATGGCACTAACCGAGGTTTTTCTCTTAACAAAATGCAAATATCAAAAGATACAAAACTTAAAAAAATCAAAACGGTAAGACAATACCTGATCGCAGAAAACCTCGGCCATTGAGCCAAACTGTTCTGCCAATTCAGCGCAGCTGTGCATTCTATTTACCAAAAAATTGATGTATTGTTCCACGAAATCGCAAAGTTCCTCCAGATTCTTTGCGAAAGCGTATTCTGCTTCGAGCATTCGGAATTCCGCTAAATGCTGCCGTGTTTGCGAGTGGTCAGCCCGTAATGCTGGTGCTATGGTGTACACACGCGGTATGCTTCTGCAAAAACCGGTATTTTTTAACTAAAAAAACTACTGATTTACTTCCACACTCAACACTTTAGCCTCATTTTAATTTAAAATTTTAAAAAAGTTGGCCAATTTTAGTTCCAGTGCTACAACAAATAGGCAGTGGCAAGCGGCACTTTGTCTCACACTCGAACCATCAGCTCAAGCCCATCAGAAGACAAACTTCCACTCGATAATATGCCTATCTACTTCAATGGTAAATTAGTAATGGTAAAACATATATCTCAAATCAAAGCCATCATCCGACTGATTCTGAGCGATCCTCACAAAATGTGCCAGTGAGCAGCTGCTAATGCTCAAAGGGCAACACTCAGAATGCCTTCCTTCAAAATGAGAGTAAAATGCGAAGTTGATTTTGCCTTTAACAAGACTAGCTGATACGGATAAGATTAAATATTATGCAACTGAAACGGATCGCGTACAAACGGTGATAACAAAAATCTCAGAAATCTGAAAATATACCCAACAAAAGCTTCCAAATATAGTTGCGCAGAGACCGGTAGATAGACAGTTTCACCCTCAAAGTAGTCTTTCTGCGTTGCCTGTAACAAGTGAAAGAAAGTAAAAAATTTCTGGAATCCTCGTAATCTTCGCTCTTTATAGTTATCATTAACACAGGAAATTATTTGCTGGCGAAGGAACCTTGAGACGTTGTTTGTTGGTAAATTTATGGCTTTATCACGAAAATTAAACACGATAATTTGTCAGACTTTAGCCAAAAATAATAATTTCAATAAACAAATTTGTATTTAGCCAAAAATTCACAGTCCAAAAATTCATATTTCAAATGAAGACAGCTACATCGCTGAAGAACTGATTTGGGGGGTTGCGAAGTTCGTCTTGTTACTGGGATGAACCCATGCGTTATGAGAGGCCCTATTAGGCCTTTCAGGCCTAAGCTGTGTGTATCCAGTCGTGGCCACCTTTTATACGTACGTTACCTTTTAGAAATACGCGACGTTCACCGGCTGTGAGCAGTGCGAACAACATGTCCTGCCTATCGGATTTTAGATCTCCGCCTGACCGCAGCAGCATCATGTAATCGTTGAAAAATAACCAAAAGCAAGCAAAGCTGCAGTGATAGCAAGTAGTGCTACCTTGCGCATAACGATTGATATCTCGGTTCGGCTACTGTAAAAGCCCGTCCCACTACGCTGAGAGGTAAACTGGTGCTGACAAAGAGTCAAAATCGCCAGAAGCCTATTTCCAAGCAAACTTTAGAAAAAGTTCTACAAAAAAACACCAAATGGCAGTTGCCGTACAGCAAGAAGCTAATATATGGCTTCGGCCTATCTTCACCTATTACTGAAAATGAGTAAG